CACCACTGCACTCCACCCTGGCGACAAAGTGAGACTCCGTCTCAAAACAACAACAAAAACAACAAAAACAAAAATAGGATTGAAAGAGCAAAACTTCATCTCAAAAAAACAAAAAACTAGAAAATACTGCCAGATTCTCTACAGAAAACGTTTGCAAATCCCTGAACCAAAACCGTGCCTTGTATACAGTAGGCGCTGGAGAACACAGAGCGATCATTACTTGCACGTCTTTTTCATGTTTTATTTTAATTGTGAGACAAGGTCTCTTCGGCCCAGGCTGGAGTGCAGTGCCACAGTCACAGCTCACTGCAGCCTCAACCTCCTGAGCAATCCTCCTGCTTCAGCCTTCTGAGTAACTGGGACTACAGGTGTGCACCACCACATCCAGCTGATTTTTTATTTTTTGCAGAGACAGGTCTCACTGTGTTGCCCAGGCTGGTCTCGAACTCCTGGGCTCACACAATCCTACCAGCTTGACCTCCCAAAGGGCTGGGATTATGAGCATGAGCCACTGTGCCTGGTCATTATTAAACCACTGTCTTCATCTGCATCCAGCTGTCTCCAAAGGCATGTTGGATGCAGATGAAGACAGTGGTTTAGGTTGGGCAGGGCAACTCAGACCTGTAATCTCAGCACTCTGGGAGGCCAATGTAGGAGGATGGCTTGAGGCCAAGAGTTCGAGACCACCCTAAGCAGCATAGTATCACCCACCCCACCCCCCAAATCTATAAACAATTTTTTTTTTTTTTAAAAGCCCAGGTGTGGTAACTCATGCCTGTAATCCCAGCATTTTGGGAGGCCAAGGCAGGTACATCACCTGAAGTCAAGAGTTCGAGACTGCCCTGGCCAACATGGCAAGACCCTGTCTCTATTAAAAATACAAAAATTAGCTGGGTGTGTTGGCACGCACCTGTGATCCCAGCTACTCAGGAGACTGAGGCAGGAGATTACAGTGAGCAGAGATCATGCCTCTGCACTCCAGCCTGGGTGACAGAGTGGGACTCTAATAAAAAAAGAAGAAAAAAGTGGCTTGGCCAGGGCCTGAGCAGGCGGTTCCCATCTGATCCTGGCTTTCATCATCAGAGAACTGGGGTCAATGGGGAAGCAGCTAACATGGAAACGCCTTGGTCTGGCAGTTTCTACAGGCAGGCTCAGCAATTTTTTTTTTTTTGAGATGGAATCTTGCTCTGTTGCTCAGGCTGGAGTACAATGGCACGATCTCAGGTCACCGCAACCTCCACCCTCCAGGTTCAAACAATTCTCCTGCCCTGACCTCCCAAATAGCTGGGATTACAGGCACCAACACGCCCTGCTAAATTTTGTATTTTTACTAGAGATGGGGTTTCACCATATTGGCCAGACTGGTCTTGAACTCCTGACCTCAGGTGATCCACCCAAAGTGCTGGGATTACAGGCCTGAGCCACCGCGTCTGGCCAGTTGTGTAAAATGTTATCACTGGGGGAAGCTGGGAGAAAGGTGCACAGAACCGTCTACTACTTTTGCAACTTCTTGTGAATCTTAAACTTCACCGAAACACACACAACTTATGATTTAAAAAACCGGGCCAGGCACTTTGGCTCACACTTGTATTCCCAGCACTTTGAGAGGCCGAGGCAAACGGATCATTTAAGGTCAGGAATTTGAGACCAGCCTGTCCAATATGGTGAAATTCCATCTCTCCTAAAAATACCAAAAATTAGCCGGGTGTGGTGGTGTGCGTCTTTAATCCCAGGTACTCAGGAGGCTGAGGCAGGAGAATTGCTTGAACCTGGGAGGCAGAGGTTGCAGTCACCAAGATCACACCACTGCACTCCAGCCTGGTGACAGAGCGAGACTCTGTCTCTTTTTTTTTTTTTTTTTTTTTTTTGAGACAGAGTCATACTCTGTCGCCAGGCGCCAGTCTCGGCTCACTGCAACCTCTGCCTCCCAGATTCAAGCAATTCTCCCGCCTCAGCCTCCCGAGTAGCTGGGATTACAGGCACGCGTCCAGCTAATTTTTTGTATTTTTAGTAGAGACGGGGTTTCACCATGTTGACCAGGATGGTCTCGATCTCTTGACCTTGTGATCCGCCCACCTCGGCCTCCCAGAGTGCTGGGATTACAGGCTTGAGCCACCCCACCCGGCCAAGACTCTGTCTCAAAACAAAAACCAAACCCTATCCCCAGCAGAATCGACAGGGCCAGAATTAGGGTGAGATGAGACTCACATGTGCCATGGCAGAGCTCTATTCTGTTGTCAATGAACAATTTCAATAAATTTAAGGACCTTAATTGGCTTCGCTGCAATTTGCTATACTTCATTCCATAAAATAGGGTAATTGTTCCAATCAGTTGGGCAGAGGAGGGTGGCTCTATAGACAGAGAAAGGCTGAAGAGAGTAAAAGCAAAGAATAGGTTGGACGCAGTGGCTGATGTCTATAATCCCAGCACTTAGGGAGGATCGCTTGAGCTCAGGACTTCAAGAGCAGCCTGGGCAACTTGGCAAAGCCCCGTCTCTGCAAAAAACACAAAAATTAGGCCGGGTGGAGTGGCTGTAATCCCAGCGCATTGGGAGGCCAAGGCAGGCGGATCACGAGGTCACGAGTTCAAGACTAGCTTGGCCAACATGGAGAAACCCTGTCTCTACTAAAACTACAAAATTAGCCGGGCGAAGTGGTGCATGCCTATAATCCCACCTACTTGGGAGACTCAGGCAGGAGAATCGCTTGAACTTGGGAGGCGAGGTGCGGTGAGCCGAGATCCCGCCATTTCACTCCAGCCTGGGCAACAAGAGCGAAACTCCGTCTCAAAAAAAAGAAATTCCCAAAATCAGCCAGGCATGGTGGTGTGCACCTGTAGTCCCAGCTACTCGGGAGGCTGACAGAGGAGGATCACCTGAGCCGGGCCAGTCGAGGTTGCAGTGGGCCATTGTCAGTAGCCTGGGAGACAGAGACCCTATTTCCAAACAGCAGCGGCAAGGAATGTGTTAACTCATCAGTGACCATAAGTTGCTTAGAACCTGAGTATGAGCAGCTGCCTTTCGTTTCTTCTGGTCTGTGGGTGCTCAGCGCAAGAGCTTAGTCCAAGACTACAGTCTCCTTTAATTTCGTTGCCCAGGCTGGAGTGGCATAATCACAGCTCACTGCAGCCTCGAACTCCCAGGCTCAAGAGATCCTCCCATGTCCTGAGTAGCCGGGACCACACGCATGCACCACTGAATTTGACATTTCAGGGCGCAATGGCTCACGCCTCTAAACCCAGCACTACGGGAGGCCGAGGTGGGTGGATCACCTGAGAACAGGCGCTTGAGACCAGCCTGGCCAACATGGTGAAAACCCATCTCTACTAAAACTACAAAAATTAGTCGGGCATGGTGGTGCATGCCTGTACTCCCAACTACTCGGGAGGCTGAGGCAGGGAAACTGCTTGAACCCAGGAGGCAGAGTCCACTGCACTCCAGCCTGGCAACAGATCTTGTCACTCTTGTCTCCAAAAAAAAAAAAAAAAAAAGAGGCCATGCCACGGTGGCTCATGCCTGTAATCCCAACACTTCGGGAGGCCGAGGCAGGCGGATCACCTGAGGTCAGGGGTTCAAGACCAGCCTGGCCAACATGGCAAAACCCCGTCCCTACTAAAAATACAAAAATTAGCTAGGCGTGGTGGTGGGCACCTGTACTCCCAACTACTCGGGAGGCTGAGGCAGAAGAATTGCTTGAACCTGGGAGGTAGAGGTTGCAGTAAGCTGAGAAGACACCATTGCACTCCAGCCTGGGCGACAAGAGCTACATGGTGACAACTGTCTCTGCAAAAAAAGAAAAAAATTTATTATTTCATCCATCATGAACTTTTTTGCCTTTTTTTTTTTGAGACGGAGTTTCGCTCTTGTTACCCAGGCTGGAGTGCAATGGCGCGATCTCGGCTCACCGCAACTGCCTCCTGGGTTCAGGCAATTCTCCCGCCTCAGCCTCCTGAGTAGCTGGGATTACAGGCACGCGCCACCACGCCCCGCTAATTTTTTGCATTTTTAGTAGAGACGGGGTTTCACCATGTTGACCAGGTTGGTCTCGATCTCTCGACCTCGTGATCCACCCGCCTCGGCCTCCCACAGTGCTGGGATTACAGGCTTGAGCCACCGCGCCCAGCCTGATTTTTTTTTTTTTTTTAATATTAAAAGTATTGGACTCGCCAGGTGTGGTGACTCCCGCCTGTGATCCCAGCACTTTGTGAGGCCCAGGCAGGAGGATCATTTAAACCCAGACGTTCGAGATCAGCCTGGACAACATAATGAGATCCCGTCTCTACAAAAACTAAAATAAAAAATAAACTGCACTAAAATAGTTGATTACTGAAGTCTGAACTTAAATTCTACGGGCACTAGGGAGCCAAGGAGCGCTTTGGAATCTGCAGCTGGTGCGGATTCCAGGGTTTCCCAAGGGTGGGAAGCAGGATGGGAGAGGGCGCCTGCAAAGAGGTGAGAGCTGCACGAGCTCCGCGGCATTTGGGAGCCGCGGTCCCGCTTTTCTCCGCCTAGCGCCAGCCAGCAGGGTGCCGAGCCCACGCCCCATCTGCACGCCAGGACCCGGATGTGCAGCGCGCGGGGCGTCGGGGCCCGTGGAGCGTGCACCGCGGTGCGCTGCAAGGCGTCGCACTGCACGCACTGGCGGTCGTTGCGGCGGAGCAACCGTCTCCTCCCTGACGCCGCCGGGAGTCTGGATACGCACCTGGCGGAAGAAGCCGCGTCACCTGGCCGCATTGTGGTCGCTGCCACTGCCCCCCTCCCTCCTTCCTTCCTTCCCTCCCTCCTTCCCTCCTTCGAGGCGACCCACACCCGTCCCCACCTGTGCAGAGCTCGTACCCCTTTAAGGAGTCAGACGCCGCCAGGGGTGGGCGTGGTCGCCGCGAGCTAGAGAAGACGAGGGAAGGAGGGAGGGGCTGGTGTAGGGCGGACCTGATTGGCCCTAGGCCCGGGCGGCGGCCGCGCGCGCCTGCGCAGGACGCAGCAGCGCCCGCCGGCGGCGGGAGGAGCGCGCGCGGGTGCTAATTGGCCCGGGCGGCGGCCCCGCCCGCGAGTGGTGGGAGGTCACGTGACGCGACGGCTGGGGGCTCCCGGCGCGGGGGACGCTGGTGGCCAAGATGGCGGCGGAGCTGGTGGAGGCCAAAGTGAGTGAGCGGCGGCGGCGCCGGCCGGGGCAAGTGGGCGAAAGGGCGGGGGCCGGGCCGCGGGTCCAGGTCTGCGCCTTCCGTCCGGGGCCCCACAGCGCGGTCCGCCCGCGGCTCGCCGTCCCGGCCCCCAGACCCCGACCCCAGGGCTCAGGGTGAGGGCGGGGGGGCGGGGAGGCCGGGGGCGGGGCCCTCCTGCCTCACCCGGGTCTTCGCGCCAGGGGTCGCTCCCCCAGCTTCAGGCAGGGTTCCCCCACCCAGCCGGAGCCTTTAGGGTCCGGGTCCCCAAGCGCCGGGCCAGGGCCGCGCCTCCCGGTTCAGGCAGCGTGCCCCCGGGCTGCGGGATGGGTTGAGCTTCTCGTTGCCCTCTTGCTTCCGAGCCGTAGTCCCTGGTATTTGTCCGGTTTGTGTCGGGAGGAGTGTCTGCGCTTACCGGCCCGGAGGGCTCCCAGGACTGGTGTCTCGGTCTTGTCCCCGCCCAACAGGCCAGGCTGGGGTTCGCGAGTCCTCTGCTCCGAAGGGTCCCCTCAGTCCCGGATAGCGTCCTACCGCCGTCCAGGTGGAGAAATCAGGGCCCTGAGACCACCCCAAGACACAGCACGTCCTCTTGGGGGCTGGAGCCGGTCTTCAGCTGCTGCATTGGTCCCAGGACCCCGCCCCCTTCCCGACACGGTTTCTCAGACACCGGAGTGGACGCTGGGGGAACGCTGGGCTCTTTACCCTCGCCATAGGATGGAGTCCCAAACGCTTGTCTTGGTTAGAAACCTTCCTTGCTCGCCCCTTTTTAAAAACAAGTCTGACATCCTGGACCTGTGTCGTTCCCCGCGGGGCAGAATCTAAGGTTACTGGTTTTGCTTCTCGTGGTTCTAAGCCTCACCTGTGCAGCCTCAGATACTGTCTCCAGAGTTAGCCGCTTCTGTTTCCTACTCTTGAGCGAGTCTGCTGCGAAGATCAGACTCCCTTTCTCCCTGCACAGCCCCCAGCACCTGTCTGCACCCCAGCTTTGGTTTCTGAGGTTCCTTGTCTTTCTGCTTATACTCTTTATTTTGATCTTTGGAGGGTCCCCACTGGGTCCGAGGCCGGCCTCTTTAGAATAACTTCGGCTGCTTCTCTGTCACGGTCTGGGCCCTGTCCAGGTCCCATGTCCGGTAGGTGCCGTCTCCTTCTAGCTTGGAACACCTTTTAATCGTCCTGAGATGGAGCTCAGAGTATCCCCGTTCCTGGGGATGTACCTTCTTGTAGGTGGCTACCTAGAGCTGAGGATCGTCTAAAATCTTCAGAAGTGTCGTCAAGGCCACTGCTTCCAGGGAGGTTAGGGGATCTCTCCCTCCCTCACCCCACTTTAGGTCTTCCCCGCCGGGGTCCTGACCTGTACGTATTTTCTTCCCACATCACCCGCTGGGATCTGAAAACACAGCCCTCAAGGTTCTGTGATGATAGCATCCAATCCTCTTACCCTTCCAAGCCTTCACTCCGCACGCACTTCTGCCGCTCCCTAGAGTTTTGCAGAGTGGAGACACCCTGGAGATGTGGAGGCCTGAACTCTGTAACCCCAAGGCGGCAGGCTCTGGGCTTGAAGTTCCATGGAGACCTCGCAACTTGGAGCTGTGACCCTGGACCCCACCCCCACCCTGGCTGAGGGCAGGGTCTGCACTCTTTCGTACCATCCAGGCCTTGAAATACGATCTGACGAACTTTTCCTTGACCCTTTGGTGGCTGGTACCCACCCCCGCCCCCCAGTTAAATCAAGTTTGCCCCTTCTTTCAGACTCTCTAAATTGCGAGCCTCCATTCAAGGGGGTGGGACCTTGGGGGGCCGCCTTTCTCCTTGAGTCCGTTTCTATCCCTCCAAATGCCTTAAGGGTCATCGAAACATCCCCTTTTTTACAGGGGCTTTCCCCAGCCTGTCATACTCATGGCTGCAGATTCTGCTTTTGGGGTGCATCACAGACTGCTCGGAGGGTTGAATGGTGAGGGCTTGTTAATGAACTTTGAAATCTGAGACCCTCTGCTTGGGGTCTGGAGGCGGGTTTTGGGGCAGGGGTGTCGTGAAATAGTCCACAGCGTTTAGCACAACACACATCTCTGTTCTCCTGGAGAGGGGCGCCTTCCTGAGCTTCCCCGGTGCTCCGAGGGCCCCGTGCTGGAGGAAAGGTTCAGCGCAGCTGCTGTCTCTGGGCTGCTGTCTCCCCACGAGGCTTCCCGGCAAGCCTGGAGTTGAAACTCGGAAGGGCCTGGGCCTGGCGCTGTTTATAAACACAGCTTTGAGGGCAGGCGGGTCAGGATGAAGCCAGGGCAGGAAGTGATCTCGGGGCATTGGGTGCTTCTTCCTGAATTCGTGTCCTCCTGCCCCCCTCCAGTGTCCAGGGCAGGCTCCTCCGAGGTGGCAGCTGCCGGGAAATCTGAATCGTGAACATATGGCTGCCTAAGGGGTGTGCTCCGGAAAGCAGGAGCTGCAGCTCCACTGTCCAGCCTGGGCAGGGCAGGGGCTCCTGGGGTGCCAGGACGTCAGCGGGTTCCCAAGCCCACCTGCCTTCGGCCGGGCTGCCAGTGCGAAGTGTCCACATGACATCGCCTCTCCTTGCTAAGGCCTGGGCAGCTTCCAGAAGAAACATCTTGTCCGCAAGCCCTTTTGTTTTCTGCATGAGGTAGGAAGTCAGGCCGAGAGGGATGAGGCATTTTTGTTTGCAAAGCCTCGCTGACTCAGGCCCAGCAGACCACGCAGGTCCCCGTAGCCAGTGTGCTGGTGAGCGAGGGTCCCCTGGGCCTCGGACGGGAGCACTCTTGGGGGCCCAGGGGCCGATGCCACCTCCGTGCTTGTGCTAGGGAGGCTGTGGGCCAGCTGCTTCCCTCTGTGAGCCTCGGTTTCCTCACCTCCATGATGGGTGTGGTCATTGTGAAATTGGCGACACGGGAAGGCCCTGCTGGTGCCTGGCAGGGAGCAGACACTTGTGTCCCTGATTCTTTACAGTCTCGGGGTCACGCATCCCTGATAGGGAAGAGGGTTCTCCTCAGGCTCTTTGGGCAAGACTGGGCCACCTGCACATGCGTCCCTGTCGTTTTCAGCCTGGACAGCCTCTCCGTCTCCAGCAGGACCCTGGGCCGGTACAGCTGGAAGAAATGTCAGCTGGCAGATGAGGATTCCGCCACTAGGCCGGGGCTGCTGCAGCCTTGCTGCTAAAATGTGCTGCTGGGCTCCTGGCCTCACCCTTGGGTAGCCGGGAGCCGGAAACCCCTGTGCCTCCTGGCACGGAGGCTGCGGTGCAGACTGCCCAGTGAGGCTGCCTCTAGCTTCGCCCCTCAGGGTCTTTCAAGAGTAGTTTGAGGGAGTGATTTCCTCGGGTGCCCGTCAGCTTTCCTCAGCACCCTCGGCACCAGCTTTTTCCCATTCCTCCCGGAAGTTTCTCCTTCCCACGTCTCATTCATCCCAGGCCAGCTTCCGGGCCGAGGGTGTGTGGCCCCGACACCCTGCCAGCCGGCCCTCGAGGACACCTGGCTTCTGCGGCTTGTTGAGGAGCCCTCCTTCCCCTTCAGAGTCCTACCCCTCATGGAGGGGGGCCAGAGCCAGGCTACCCCCAGTCAAAACCTAGGGTCAGCTGGGCTCTGCTGTTGCTTTTGATTTCACTGCAGGGCTCCTGCCGGGAGATGAGGACCACGTCCCGCAACAGCCCCGTGGCTGCTGCCCTCCCCTCAGACTAGACCCCCAGGGGGAGTCTGGGCAACATCTGGACATGTATTTGGTTGTTATGAATTGGGAGGTGCTTAGCACCCTACAGTGCCCGGGACGGCCCCAGCGTCCACAGGGCTGAAGGGGAGAAACCCCACACGGGATGATGAGCAGATGTTTTGGAGGTCCCTGAGTTGACTTTCGGAGGTCCCTGAGTTGACGTCCGGAGGGTAGTGTGGGAGCAGGAGCCGCCCCTGGTGTCAGAGCCAGGCCTGGGCCTGAATCTTGTCACTGCTGCCCCTAAGGCGGCAGTTCCTCGTTTGTGACAGAGCTTGCACCAGCCAGCAGAGGTGTTAGAAGGGTCAGAGTTAAATATGTAATCACATGACCGGCTCGGTTCCCGGCAGGTGATTAGTGCTAAGTAAACTGGCTGCCGTCGGCGAGACCGAAGGGAAGTGTGTTTGTGGCCGACGGGGGTCGAGGCCTGCCCAGCCGTGCTTTCTGTTCTTATCCTCCCGATGAAGAGACTGAGGGTCAGAGAGGCACTTGGCATTTGCTGGCTAGGCGCTGGCAGAGGGGGTTTAAAGCACGATTCCCAGTTCCTGCCCCAGGGATACTTTCAGGCCGAAGACAGGGGAAGAGAACCTAAAATAGAAGGGGGGCCTAGTCAGAGGTGCTTTTGCTGCGTTGGCGGTGCTGGGGAAAGTTTGATGAGGAGGGAGGGGCGAGGCTCTGCTGGGGGGGGGCACCGTAGGGGCAGGGCACACCACCGCCCCCGCCAAGGCTGGTGCTTCCTGGCGAGTGGGTGTTTCTCAGGCCCCCGTGTCGGGGCTTGGCCTCCACGGCACCCCCTGCCTCGGCAGCTCTGGCCTCTGAGAGTGTTTGTCTGCTTGCTTTCCCTCAGAACATGGTGATGAGTTTTCGAGTCTCCGACCTTCAGATGCTCCTGGGTTTCGTGGGCCGGAGTAAGAGCGGACTGAAGCACGAGCTTGTCACCAGAGCCCTCCAGCTGGTGCAGTTTGACTGTAGCCCAGAGCTGTTCAAGAAGATCAAGGAGCTGTACGAGACCCGCTATAAGAAGACCTCGGAGTCTGTGCCACAGCCGCACCGGCCCCTGGACCCCCTGACCATGCACTCCACCTACGACCGGGCCGGCGCCGTGCCCAGGACTCCGCTGGCGGGCCCCAATATTGACTACCCTGTGCTCTACGGGAAGTACTTAAATGGACTGGGACGGTTGCCCACCAAGACCCTCAAGCCAGAAGTCCGCCTGGTGAAGCTGCCCTTCTTTAATATGCTGGACGAGCTGCTGAAGCCCACTGAGTTAGGTGAGTGGCCGCCGCCCCGGGTAGGCTGCGCCCGGAGGTCTCGCCGAGGCCCGCCCAGCCCAGCGACGTGGCTGACCTCCAGGGAGGTCCTGTGTGGCGCAGCCAGGGCGGGGAGCCACAGTGGCAAGGGTGTTCTTCCCGGGAAGCAAAGGGACCATCTTTGATATTGTTCACCCCTTGGTGTGTTACACGTTACCCGCAGTGGAGTGGCCGGAAGCAGTGGCTGTCTGTTAGGTTCACTGTGGGACGTTGGGGCACGGGGCTCTCACAAGACTCAAGTCAGGCTGGAGCTACCTCATCTGGAGGCTCGACCGGGGCTGTAGCAGCCACATCCTTGTGCGGTGTCTGGCAGGCCTCGGCTCCTCGCTGGCTTTTGGCCACAGTCCCCAGGTCCTCACCGTGCAGCCCCCTGTGTTGTCTGCCTTGTGGCTGCCTCGCCCTGGCCAGTGAGTGTTGCCCACCAAGCTGGGAGCTGGAGCCCTTTTTATAAGCCAACCTCAGACGCCTCACCGCCTCCCGCACCGAGTCCATTGCTCACACAGATACTGTGGCGCAGGCAGGGACCACACCAGGCTGTGATTGCCGGGGCCATTTGGGAGCCTGGTTTCCCTGCTTATTCCCCATGGAAAGGGTGCTGGACAGGGGCATCAGCCTTCCCTCCTTTCCCCAGGCTGTGGCTCCTTGCCTGCAGCCTGCACGAATAGCCTTGGTCAGCGGGCTCAGGCCACTGCCAGGCTGCAGGAATGTCTGCCTCAGCCATAGCCCTGAGCTCAGGGCCAGGGAGGCCTGAGCAGCCCCAGCCCCCAGGGCAGAGAGAGTGCAGCCTCTGGGGCTCCCAGATAGTGAGCAGAACCTACGCCCTGAGGAGCTCTGGTTTACAACCGGGACCCTCCGTGCCTGGAGACCTCTCCGTTGCTTCTTCTTCCTGCCTCCCCTCCCCTGCCCCCACTCTTTCCTTCATGCAGTAAACATCAGAGTGCCTGCTGGGTGGGTGCATGACGGGCACCAGGCGTGGGCACGTGGCAGGGAACGGGACCAAGGCTGCAAGGTTCAGAAGCCCTGTACACGCCCCTCCCACCCTGCTGACCCAGCGAACTGCCTGGCCCCTGCTGTGGCCTGGGGGCCCCTCTCTGGCACTATTCAGTCCACTGGGTGCCAGCTGGCCCCCCTCACCCCTGCTTTGGGAGGTGGGGTTGATGGGGTGGGGAGAGGGGGTATTGGCTGCCTTTCCCCTCCCGCCTACAGACCTGGGACTTTGTGAGGTTAGGCTGGAGGGGCTGAGCTTCCTGGTGACAATGGAGGAGGTGGAGGAGGGAGAAAGGCACTGCCAGTGGTTCCTGGGCAGCCGGGGCTCCGCCCTCCAGCCTGAGGCTCCGCCTTCCCAGTGAGGCTCCGCCCCTACCTTTCTCCTGGCGGGAGGTATCTAGCACAGCCTCCCACAGAGCAGGTTGGCCCAGCAGCACCTGTCCTGGGGGACTCAAGGCCTTGGCCTGAGTTCCTTCAGGCTGACTTTCTGTGCCTTGCTCCCTCGTGAGGGAAGCCATTCTCCATGCTGGGTTCTGGGGCAGAGCCGGCTGTCTCTGAAGGTCAGGTCTTGAGAGGGACCCGCGTGGCAGGGAGGCTGGGCTTTCCTGGGAGCGGCAGGGCCAGCTTGGTGCAGGGTGGGGGAACGGCTTCCTTCCTGCACGGGGACCAGTCGCTCCGCCCTACAATGCTTCGCTGTGCCCTGAGCCCCCAGGGACCCCGGTCACCTGATCTCCGGGAGAGCCTGCTCCCCTGTCTACACCAGGATGACTGCTGGCGGCTCAGAACAAAGAGGCCAACCCCGCCCTGCCTCTCCTGCCCGCTGCTCCCACCCATCCCAGGGCCTTGAAGGGTGCTTCCCTCCGGTGAACCCTCTTCCCTGGACTCCCATGCTCTCGGAGGGGCCCCCTGGGTTCTCAGAGCATAGATTGGCCCTGAAGCAGTGGTCCGCATGGTTTAAGGACCTGAGATGCCATCCGCATGCCCACACTGACCCTGGGCTGTGTCCCTCCCCAGGTGCCCTCTCTGGTGCTGGCGTTGCTGGGGTCCACCTCAGGAGGACTCAGCTCCACTGGTTCCCCTCGCCCCAGCCTGTGGCTGTGACCCACCGTCTGCCATGAGGCCCACTGCTCTCTGGTCTTTTTCCCCGGAAGAGCCGCCGGCCGGCTCCAGGATGGAGACCGCACCAGGCAGACAGGAGCCATAAATCACGCGGCGCGGAATGCCGGGCTGGGGGAGGGGGTGACAGAGCCGCAGAGCGGGCTGCGGGGACCTCGGGCCACAAATGATCAGCTCCATCGGGGGGGTGCTTGTGTGGGGAGGGGCCGGTGCCCAGAACAGTGCGGAGAATGGCCCAAGGTCACACAGCAGCCCGCCTTCCTCCTCCCAAGTCCTCTGGGTTCTGCTCCTGAGCAGAGGCTCCAGCCAGGACCTCATGAAAGCTGGAGACTGTCCTGTCTCTCAGCGAGATAGTCAGCTCCACCCCTGCCCAGCCTGCGCCTCCGACTAGGGGGCTTGAGCCTCCTGTCAGGGCGTGTGGGGGTAGAGGCTGTCAGGAGATAGAGGGCAGAAGGAAGGACTCACTGGCTGGGCACAGAGCTGCTCTCCAGGGCCTCGGCCCTCAGTGGGCGCCCCAAGGAATCTGCCTGCCCGCCCACCTGCCATGCAGAGTAGAGTCCCTGTCTTCGTGGCTCCAAACGCCCCCAGAGGCAGGTAGCCCTGGCACCGGCCAAGAGCCGCCGGTGTAGCTGTGCTGTGCGGAGGCACATGTGCCTTTCATTCAGCCCTGAAGCCCTCAGGCCAGTATTGCTCAAGCTGCAGGCAGGGTAGCATGGTCCCTGCTCAGGCGCAGCACAGCAGGTGACGAGACAGTGCCAGTGATAGGTGTCTCATAGCAGATGGAGGGCTTTCAGGGACAGCTGTCAGTAAGTAGTAGGAGCCATTTACTGTACATTTGTGAGGCACTGGCAGTCAGGAAGGCTTCCTGGAGGCAGCAGCATTCCAGTCCAGACCCAAGGGTGACTCCCAAGAAGCCAGGCAGAGAGGAGGGGCAGGGGAGTGTGTTCCAGGACGAGGGCAAAGGCCAAGGCGAGAGAGGGCTCTTTCATGAGGTTGAATGGAGTCCATTGTGGCCAGAGCATGGGGCACCCAGGAGGAGGGACACAGCAGCCTGAGTGCGGGCAGCAGAAGCTGGAACCCGAGCACGCTGGGCTGAGAACGGTGGGCCCAGGGAAGGCTGGGGGCTACCCTCCCCCACCTTGTCCCAGGGCTGCAGCACCCCTGAGGTTCCAGGGAGCTCTTCTGGTCTCAGATTCTGGTGTCATTTTTGGGGTCATTGAGAAAACTGAGGGGTACAGGAGGCAAGTGGCCGCCAGCTATCTCCATCCAGGCCTACCGCCTGTCCATCTGTGTACTGGGAGACAGGGTGGGCATGGCCATCCTGTGTCACTGTCCCATGTGCGGGGTGGTCTGACTCACGACCCACTTGGCCTGCCGGGGCCTCCCATGCCTGTGGTTGGGGAATGGGGATTCCGCCACCTCTGTCTCAGGGCCTGGCCTCCGGGGACGCATACCTGGTCGAGGAGGAGGAATGAGCCCACCGTTACCCGTTGAGGGGTTGCCGGCAGCCACCCCAATGTCCCAGTGGTTCTTCTCCTGTCCCCTGTGACCCCCTGCCCCGTCCAGCCCAGTTCCCACCTGCCCGCCAGCCGCAGCCTCCTGCTCTGCTTCTGCCCGCTGGTCCCCTCCCATGGCAGCTGGGAATGTTCTTGGATAGAAGGTGAGCCACAAGCCTGCTCCCCTCATAACAGCCCCCACCCCGGACCTCGTTGCCTCTCCTGTTGCGTCCCCTTCTTCCTCCCATCCCCTCCTCACTCTGCTCAGCCACACGGGGCTCCCTGCTGGGCCTCCTGGATGTTCACCGTTCACAGTTCCTCCAAGGCTCCAGGCAAGGTCTTGCCGTTGGGCCTTTGCACGGCTGGGCCTGTCACTCACCTCACCAGACCCTTCGAGGCTCCTCCCCGGGCTCCTTGTTGCCCTCTCAGAACAGCCTCCCAGTGTAGACTTTGCTTTTTATTTCTTTATTTTTTGATGTCGTTTCTTTATTTGTGCGTCTTATTTCACACTGGGGACTTGGACCGCCTCGTTCCCTCTGGATGGGTCGGAGCAGGATTGGGGGCCCAGGTCAGGGAGGACAATGAGAGCAACAAAGAGCCAGCGTTCCTGAGCCCCTCTCTGCATGTCCCGATTGTCCTGATGGCCCCGCTGATGGGAGGCAGCCATCCTGCTTGGCTGAGTGTGAAGCTGAGGCCGAGACAGCCTGGCTCCTCGCTGTGAGTCAGGGAGCTGGGGTTAGAACCCGGAGCCCCAGCTGGGCGTGTCGTGCTCTGTCCATGCCAGGCAGCCTGGCTGATGGGTGGAGCCGTCAGCGTCGCCCCCTGCACCTAGCCAGTGGCACTTGTTCCCCACCCCTCCAGGACAGGGCCTCCTGTGTCCCTCGTACCTGATGATGCTGCTTCCACTCTTGACGTGGGAGAGCTGGGTGGGGAATCAGTGCTGATAGCTCTTGGCTGGACGGGTGGGGCCCGGCGTCAGAGGACTTGTATGTGTTCAGGAGGGGACATTCTAGAGGAGGGGGCCAGCTGGAGGGGAAATAGTCCCATCCATCAGCTGCTGCTGGTTTTTTTTTTGAGGTGGAGTCTGACTTTGTTGCCCATGCTGGAGTGCAGTGGTGCGATCTTGGCTCACTGCAACCTCCTGCCTTCAAGCAGTTCTCCTTTGGCAGCTCCCCAAGTAACTGAGATTACAGGCACACACCACCATGCCCATCGCCTTCTTTTTTTTTTTTTTTTTGAGACGGAGTTTCTCTCTTGTCACCCAGGCTGGAGTGCAATGGCGCGATCTCAGCTCACCGCAACCTCTGCCTCCTGGGTTCAGGCAGTTCTCCTGCCTCAGCCTCCCAAGTAGCTGGGATTACA